AGTACTTCAACAGTGGCTTAGCGATTTTATATGTGTTTATTAAGAAAAAGCCAACAGCACTTCAACAGTGGCTTAACTGCAGTTATCTAGAATTTAATACGTATCGTAAACACACGTGTGCACTATTTTAGCATAACACGTCGCTAGAAAAATAAAGTATTTATTGTATAATGCAACTTAACGGTCCGCTAAAATAGCGATCAGTTGATAAAAACTTGACCGGCTTTAATAATCAATGGCCTGCATTAAATTTTATGCGGTGTCACTCTTCTGCAGAATCATTTCTCACGGTCGATTTTTTATTAACAGTTAATAAGTAGCGCTAATATGAATAGCGTCTAGAACCTTTCCTTACCTTATATTTGATCCCGCGATAAGAATGGGACTTAAAAAGGCTATAAGGGCAAAGAGTACAACGTTCTTAATCAGTAGTTTTACCGAAATTCATATGTTGCAGGAACTTGGAATCTCCGCCATCTCCGAGATCGTCAGATCTAAACCTACCTTAAGCGATCGACGATTATAAGGGGTTTAATTTCACCAGAAAAATAACAAAATAGAACAGTGTTTGGAACTTATAGCCGAGCGGAGTTGCTTTATGTAGAAAAAAGCTGGCGTTGAATTTGGGTAACGTAATAACTAATTGTGTATTTTTCTTTCTGGCAGGTTTTTTACGTCTAGCGAATAAATGGTATAAAAATAAGTGATTTTTCTCTTGTAAGGTGGGTAAACAATAGCGTTATTTTTTGCTTGTATATTCCAAGGTCTGGTTATTGTATATTGCTCGCTACTGGGGATTTTGTATTTCGTTACTTTCTACTAACTATGGGTTTTTATTTTTTGCAGAGTCCTCAAAATGGCAATTATTAATCTTAACTGTGTCCTCCTTAATGATAATGGAACTCACTCCGAAGATGAAATTTTTACAATTGAGATTTCTAATGATAAAAAGTATGAATTGCTCAAACATATGGTAAAAGAACGCTTGGCGCCTTTTTTCGATTCCGTTCCTTCTACTAAAATCCGTCTTCGTCTATCCCCCAATGGCAATAATATTAAACCATTGATTAGAATTTCTGATGACTTTCCTACTAGTCCCAGTGAAGAAGATCTAATTTATGTAGTTCCCACACCAAAAAAATAATTTTTATTTGTATTCGCATCATGTAACAGCGATATATATTTTTTATTTGTATATTATGTCGTCGTCCCGGCAATATAATTTTTTATAATAATAAAAGGAGGGGTCCGCTGGGCTCCCTATTTTTTATTTTAACACGCATCTGACCAAAACTATAATATATAACTAGCGAAGTAAGGCATTTGTACCCGGTTATGCCTAATTAAAAATTTGTATGAATTGAGCATGGATTTTTTCCCATTCTTCCATAAGATCATCGAGCCATGCAGTAGTCAAACCACTTTTTAGTATACCACGACGTAATAACTCTTCACCGACTAGCCTCTCCCGATCTGTTAAAAATTTACGATATTTTCTAGGGTCTTCTTTTCTTTCTATTCCACCACGATAGAAACGTATATCTCTTTCCAAATCCCCACGAAAACATCCCGTGGTCCACCTATTTTTCTCAGCCTCAGTAATAACCGAAAATTTCTCGGGATCCATTCCATGTTCAATGGCATATTGGCGTAAGCCTGCCTCTGGTTGATAAAGGCAGGTTTTGTTTGGTTGAATTGGTGAGCCATGAGAGTTATGAGGTTTGTTTGACACACTTTCCGGCAAACTTTGTACAGCAATTATAACTTTCTTTTGATCAATACGAAATGGGCAATTAAGAAAATAGTGATCATTTTTACCGAGACAGCTCCAATCGCCCCATATACCTCGATGTGTATGTACCTCTTTGCATACTGGGCATTTAGCTTCTGAATCGGTATATTTAAAAACATCCCGGTGCCATACATTTGAATTAGTATATGATAAGAAAGGAAAATGTTTATGTACTGCTTCATGGATTGTGCTTTTTTCTTCTGGAAACTTAGAAATTTTGATAACACAATCCTGTGAAAGGTAATTACTAGTATCTTCTTCAATTTGTGGGGACTCAAAGGTTTCAGACATTATCCAGGGATCGAGCCCAGTTTTTTTCTTGTATCTTTTATATAACCTAGAACGAATTTTATCCGTCAAAATACCCGGCAATTCTGTTAATTTAGCTTCCCATTCCAAATATTCGGGAGTCAATGTTTTATTAGCTTTTGCCCGTGTATCCATGTTCCCGTTTTATGTATATGACTGCACATCTTTCTAAATTAACAATAACCAACAAAAAATAAATATGCCTCAGAAGACTTAAGCGAATTGTGCTAGTATAAGTTTAAAGTTTATGCTGTTACCTCAATTTCAATTCCACGCTGTTCACATTTAATATAATAGGATCCAATTTCATATCTACCTTCTATACCATTATCATCGTCGTGATCTAACTTGCATAGTGGGCATAAAGATTCATCAGTAATTCCATAATAATCGTCGTTTCCATCACTACCTTCTCGATATAAATTAGGATATTGATCCAATGTTTTGCTACGAAAATAGGATCGATCATTCGTTAACTTAGATTGAGGTGCTTTCGAAGGAATATATGTATTAGTCAGATTAATTTTTGAAGTCGCATGACTCTGATCGTGAAGAAAATCTTCACGGTTTTTAGTCACATGACTCTGATCGTGAAGAAAATCTTCACGGTTTTCAGTCACATGATCTATAATATTTTGGATTTGTTGGTAGCTGAGACTTGAGATAGCATCTGCACTATAAGAAACTAGTTTAATTTTTTCTATTCCTAATGCGTTAAATAATTTATATAATTTTCTAGCTCTAAGGATTTTTTGACACAAATTAACATCAGTAATATCAGGTAAAAGCAGTTTTATTTCTTGATATACCATAGATGTTGCAGTTTTTCTTTTAATTTCACTAATAACAATCTCATCGATTTTTTTGTCATATTTTTCGATAAAATAATACCAGTAAAGTATCCCTTCTTGTCCCGATTGAATGGCCTTATAAAATGCGTAAACTATGCTTTCCGCTGTAACTGAAGATGAGTCTCGATCCTGAAGCTGATCTGAGATTATGGGAGTAGGTATAGATGCTGACAGTTGTTGTTTTAATTCCTGTTCCGTAATTAGATTTTTATCCAACTTGATAATAACTTCATTATTAGAGTTATTAAGTATAGTCGATTCTGAATTCTGATCATGGTTTGATGGATATATTTCAAGACCAGCTGGTAACTTGGATGCATTAACTGAAGATAAATTCTCAGATTGAGAAATGGAAGTATTGTTAGTCTGTAATAGCTTTTTTTTCCTATTTCTCTCTCTTATCTCGGTGCTAATAGTTTCTTTATGTACATGATCTAGGAATTCGATCTCTTTATCTTTACAAGATTCAAACTCCGTACGAATAAGTGGTTCAGGGTATTGAATATTCGACTCTTGATATATATCAGAATTAGAAATATTATCAGATATATTTTCTATCTGTTCAGGGGTATTATCAGAATTCGTTTTGTAAGATGCAGTATCATCACCTAATTTAGCAATAAGGTCACCTTTTTCTTCGTCATTTTGTGATAACTTTTGTTCCAATTTCGAAACCCTAGATTTGAGTTCGGTATTCTCGTTTATAAGGTTTGCGATATTTGTTTTATTTTTCCTATCTTGTTCTTCAAATCTAGTCTTAAATTCGGTATTCTCTTCCATAATCTGCTTTAATGTTATATTCTCTGCCTCAACCTTAGCATATTTCTTTCTAAGTTCGGCAATCTCGGCTACAAGCTTATAATTCAATTCTCTCAACAAGTCATCTTTAGATTGTATGTTTGCCATTTTTAATATAAAATACGGATATATTCAATTCTTTTATCATGGAGATGTATATTTTCATCGAAACATAATCAGAGATACATGCTACGTAAACACAAAAAATAAATAAATCCAAAACACATGACTGCGTAAAAAAATTCTCGATCATATGCGAGTAATGTACAGTGATAATAATACAATAAAATAAATTCACAGCCACCAAGGCCAGCTTTATTGATAATATTAGAATAACGATAACAATGTGTTCACAAATTTCAAGTTAACCATATCAAAGGTTTGACAAAATGTTATAATAATACGATGCAGTAAAAAATTAATTTTGACTTATAGAAAACTTTAGATTTGTTTTTTTAAAGTTTACTAATCTAGTTAAAACACGTTTAGAACCAAGTGAAACCACAAGTACTCCTCCCAAATACCCTTCCCCCTTCATTACTTGAATTTTGTCATCATAAATTCCTGATTTATCATACTTATTAACACTACCCTTCCGCACCGTTTTCATATACCTACCAAGTTGTTCCATTCCATTTTTAACTAACTCTCTCACTAATACTTGCTCATATTTCTTTTTTTCCTTACACCAATAGAAATATTTTCTATTTAATAATTCGTCTTCAGTTTCTTCTTTGATCTTATTATCTAAGGCCTTTAATGATTTGTAGTCTGCGTTTTCAACCCATCTTGCCTTTTCTCCACTTAAAAGACCTACCAAAGAAATACATTTTAACTCCAATATTACGCTCGAATTTATTCCGTCTTCATCCACTCCATTAACAAAAATGTCAATAAATCCAAAGCGACCTGCGCCTGAATTTTTCGACCCATCAACTACAAGTCGAACTTCAGGTTGGCGATTTTTGGTTGGAAGTAGCAATTCAATTGCCGTCTGAAATGCGGTTTCATTATAATCTTTAAACTCCCTAAAAGCTTTGGATTTATGATAACTTAAAATTAAATCAACAAATGGCGAGATGTTGCTCTTCAACATTGATTTATACGCGAGATATTTATCAACAGAGTTATCGACGGAGTTATCATCTACGATACCTAACTATTTGAGAAAAATAAATTTAGAAATTGATCAAAAAATAACAGCTTAAGGTATATTAAGTTCTGTCTATTTCAGTTTCTCTTGTTCTGGCTATCTAAAAAAGGTAAGGATGATCGAATACATACTACTGGGACGTGGCCAGAAAAATGCATCGATTTGGCTAACTTTTGAGGACGTAGCTCCCTTGTTAAAATCTGAGAAAATAGGCCAGCAATGTGTTCAATATAGTTTAACAAGGAGTAGCCTCATCCTAACCTCAAATGCTATGACAGTCCGATAAAAGCAAACATACACAGGATTCTCTACTCATATGACGAGGACCGATCCTCACCTTTGCTGGGATAGATGAAACATACCTATACCCAGAAAAGGGTAGCCTGACGTAAGCAAGCCCCATCAATAGCAAACATTTCAAGATATCCAGTAATTCATCATCTTCTTAATAGGTGTGGTTTGCTAAGAAAAAAATATATTCTCACCTTTTTATCCAAAATTGACATTATTTCTTTGATCTCTTTTAAAGTCCTAGGGTCTTCTTTGATTTTTCGAATAATTTTAAAAAAACATCGAGCATAAACTTCTTTTTTCGGTACAGTATAATTTTGCAAAACCCATCCTTCAAAATGATCGAATGACCACTCTTCGAAAGGAATGATGTAAAAATATCTAGAGTACATCCATTTAAAGTTTTCTATATCTTGAATTACGGGAATTATTTTTTTATTTGGAAGCTTACCTACAAAGAGGTGATTAAAAACGTATAACAAACAAATAGTACATTGAATGTATACATACTAGTATTAATCTCCGTTATCAAATTTGAAAGCACTACAGCAGGGCCAACTTTTAGCTGACATCGAAGAAGATCTTTTTTACTTAGTAAAGGAAAACTCGAACCCGAAATTTTTTGATTCCTTAGAAGTAAAAAATCTTCTTCATCGAGATTTAATTCTTGACTTCTCAAAAAGTTGAATAATTCATCAGTATTCCATTTGTTGATGATATCAAGTAAACTTTTAGCCATTTTATTAGTGATAGTGCTTAAAACAAAAGAAGTGTAAAATACAAGCTACTTGCTTTTTATACAACTATATTACGCGACTTTCATACGCGTCTTGTAATACAGAGATGCATGCATAATTTCTAAATATATGCGTTATGTAAAAGGGGTATTACATTATATAGATAATCATGTGAGTGTGACCTCGGATGTCACAAGCACGTTACTTAGGCCGCTTAAACTTCGTTTAACGTTATCCCCCCCTCCATCTCCCGGGCTCCCCCCCAAAATTAAACAAATACAGAAATAGAAATGAAAGTTTGATCGATATGATAGCCATCATAGCAGTCGGGCTTTTTCGGCTTACGTCCGGGATTTCTCGATACACTATGTTTAATTTTTAATTTTCATCCCTCCCCCCTCTATAAATATGAAAAAAAAATAACGTTAAACGAGGTTTTAATTTCAAGTCGCCTTATTGAATTATTCAAGAATTTTCACATTCATATCGTCTATCGCTATATATTCTTTCCACTATTTTTTTTGCATGTTTTACAATATAGGTGTGAATGGTGATTGCATTCGTCACAAACCTTACACCCGTACTTCCATCCTCTAAAGATATGCCATTTATTTGTATACATGTTATTCGGGATTTTTCATTATTACTATATGTATATTAACAGAAAAAATATAACGTGGCTAAAAATTTTTATTATACAAACCTATAACAGTATAATGTGTGTTTGTGACCCGTTTATGCATAATTATAAGCCTTACATTTTTTGTTACCGTTTTGTAACATTGTACTGTACAGTATGTAATTTATCCATTACTAAAATTTGATCTTCCTAATGAGGTAAATAAAATTATTAGCAAACGAATATTTATTTAAAAATCAAATCATAGATAAAAGCTTTATTAATTTTGTAGATATATATGAAAATGGCCCGGGCCAGCTAAGT